TCGATGGGTGTGTTTACTTTAGGCTGTCCGAACTCAACAAATATGGAGATGTTCTTCCACAGTACATAGAGAACAACTCTTCAACATTGTTTTCTCTTTTCGGAAAACAAATTATTTCATATATTTTCCTTAGTTTCTCACAGACATATATGGCGAGAAGAGCAATTGGCGTAAGGCTATATTACAAGGAGGAAAGAGTTGCTAGTTTCAAAAATCAGTTTGACAATGCACAGTGTATAAAAGTTTACACTATTTACAAGTTTACACAGTGAAAATTTAATCGAAAATTTAAATCTATACAAAAGTTAACATCGATTAAGATAGATTGTGTGTGCATATATATATATATATATATATATATATATATATATATATATATATATATATATATATATATTGAGAGATAGAGTGAGAGTAATTTTGTTAAATCTTATAGGAAAATTCAAAAACAACATTAACAGAACGTGTTTTTCGTTAAGCGTCGAAACGCTTCTAAATGTGAAGGCAAGAAAGAAGCATTTTGACACTTGAAATTTAATGTACTTTCAATGTTTACATTTAGTTTAAATGTTTTAGTTTTATGTATTTCGATATAATATTATAGCTGTTAATGTAAAATATATATTTGCAAACATACAATGCATAATCAAATAGAAAAAAAGTAATAGTGTAGAAAGTCTTCGTAGACATTGATTTCATAGGATGATATTTGTATCAAATATTTTAATGGAGTAGTTATGAAATTGGGTACAGAAATATCGGTCACTATTAATTATTTCGTAGAATGCTTTATCCACTACTAAATATTCATTTACTAATATGTTTCCTTTTAAAACATATCTATAATATATATATATATATATATATATATATATATATATATAAAAAGGAAGAGGTTATAGTAGTTTGTCTTTTTACTATCCCTCCTAATCCAGGTTCGGCTAAATATTTATACAACTTCGTTAGGTTTGTTATGCTGGTTTTCCTTTGTCCGTTTTGCGTTCAATATGTTCTGCGATTGCCAAATTTTCTAAAACTTCTATCTTCATTATGTGCCCTAGAAGTTTCAACTGTCTTTTTCTGATGATAAGTATAACTTTCCTTTTTGTTTCCATTTTATATAAAACTTCATTGTTACATATATGTGCGTTCATGCTATTCTCAGCATCCTTCTGTAGAACCACATTTCTATTGCTTTTAGTCTCTTCTTCATCTGTGATGAGATTGTCCAACATTCACTGTATAGGAGAGCTTATATTACATAAAAGTTCAGTACTCTTTTCTTTGTTCTTAGGAAATTTCTCTTTTTCTTAATACTTAGTTTTTTGAAGGAAACTTTCGCTATCTCAATGTGCCTTCGGATTTCGATGTTGTATTTCCTGTTCTCTTTGTATACTATTAACACTATGACATCTGCATATATAATGTGGTTAAAATTATAAGCGAAAATAATGAATCCTGGTAGGAATTGTAATTATCTCAGGATTCTCACTGTAAAGTCTGGTGTGGCGAGAAGAAATCCTGTTCTTACAACTCATTTTGTTCTATTTTTATGTATTTACTGAATTTACTATTCATATCCGTATTCTCCCAATATAAGTTCTGAATAATTCTAACACCCTTCTCAAATAAATCAAGCTTATATTGTATTTTCAGCAGTTCTTTGTTATGTATTTTATCAATCGCTTTTGCACAATCTATAAATATAGGTATACTTCCTTTTGTAGTTGTATTGCTCTTGTAATATTCTAAGCATGGATATCACATTCCTTGTTCTAGTGTCTTTAACGAGACCGGATTGTTTTTGTCCAATTTCCAGTTTAAAACTACTGCATGCTGTATTCATTAGTATTCGGATGATAATTTTTATGGCTCATTAGGCTAATTTTCTAATGGAGCTCGCATCTGGCTTTTTAGACAGCGGCCTGAAAATGGATCTACTAAGGTTTACCGATATATCATCACTGTTGTATTTTTCATTTATTATGTCTAATCTTTTAATGCCGAAATGATATAAAGCTGCCAACATCTCTATTACAATTCCATCTGTTCCTGCTACATTGCTCTTGAGTGCGTGTTAGTGTGAATACGTGAGATGAATGAATGATTATGCTATTAGAGTCCCGCATTGATTTCGGCCAGAGAAATGGGATTATTGCCACATTAGGTGATTGTGGGGGGTTTTATTACTAATAATATTTTCCTTAGTTTCCTGTAAATAGATTATGCTCATATTGTAATAAACATTGGGGTTAATTTTTAGAATTATTGTTATATTTCCCTCCCCTCACAGACTTTGTATTGTATATATGGGGTTTAGTTAGTTTTTTCATAGAGACGACGAGGTATTATGGTGTTTGTAGTTTGAAAGGTACGTATAAATGCGATGTTTTGGTGTAAGGAATATTATCCGTACGATTGGGTCAGTGTTTGCGGCTAGCTAAGTTAAAACTAAGACAGAAGAAGACCGTCCTCTCCCCATTCCCCTATTTCGGCCTTGTGCCACATTTCTGTTTCATTTGCAGAATAAATATTGCTACATTGCTCTTGTTCAATTTGGCCAGTCTGATTTTAATATTTCTGGTCCTACGATATATCTGTATATTGCTGGCTGTCTTCTTTCGTTATAGAAGATATCTCCGATGTATCTGTCTCACTCCTAAAGTATTTTTCTTTCTGTATTATCAGTCTTTCTTCTTTGGATTTTATGCATCCTGTTGATGAACATGATTTTTTTTTTGTTTTGTTAGTTCTCTTATTGATTTATTCATATCTGTAATACTCATTCTTTTTTATTTCAGCACACCTTTCATTGAACTATTCCTATTTTACATGCTTGTATTTTCCCTAATTTCTTCGTGCAATATCCCGTGCCGTACCGTGGCATTGTTTTCTGTCTCCTTTTTATTATGTCGAGAATTTCATCTGTCATCAATTCCTTTTATCTTGTCGAGTTTTATTTGGGATGATCTCATTTTCTAATGCTATTAAAGATTCCATTACTGTGCCCAACTTCGAATTTCCATTCTCATTTTGTTCATTGTATCTGCCTTTGACGCTCTCCGTATACTTTTACTTTAAATACGTAATCTGGTCTCCCATGACGATTGTAATTTCCCGCGATATGCATTGAGCCTTGTCGTTGTCAAACACACAATAAAACATTTCAATTTCTTCTTCTGTTCTTTGTGCTTTTATTCATAAATTGCTAGCCTTAAATGTTCTCTGTTGTTTTCTCAATCGTTGCGAATGGCTTTCCATGAATGTTTCTATCATCTATCACTTTTTTCCAATTAAGTACTGCAAAATATTCCAGCATGAAAAAATGTTCATATAAATTTAGCAAAACAGTTTCAGTTTGTATTTTTTCTTAAATAATCTAGTTTTATTGCTTTCGTAAATGTAGCCAATCACTTGGTTTAAATTTGCAACACAAGCTTCTTTTAATATTTTTTGTTATTCAATCCATTTATCCTGCTAATTACTCTTAATTTTCTCGCATTTCTTTGTGTGATATTCTTAACACCATTTTTCTTATTCGAATTTTGCCAATGTTTCAAATTCTTCATTCTTTTCTGATCATGATTCAACTTTTCGTAATTTCTAAACATTATTTTCACATCACACAATAACTGTATATTTGTTTCTTTTTTGAGACTATATATTTCTTTTTAACCATGGTAATTTTATGGATCTGAAGTAATATGTCTACAGTAATTACACACACACATACACACACATATTAACACCAAATCTGTTGTGAAAACTTTTACTTGTATAATAAAGACCGATTTAGTGCAGAGTCATGTCTACATATTTTATATTACGTTGATTTCCTGAAAAAATAAGTTCGCCGTTATTTACAGGAACATTACAATAGATCCAGTCTGAAAACATCTAGAGTGAATGTTAAGAATAATATTTTTTCGGAAAAGCTATATCAAGAAAAGAAAGAGCAGATGTTACAACTGGGATAATGGAAATTTTCAATTATTACAGAATTTTTCCTACTCAAATATTCTCTCTAACTCTTTCTCTCTCTCTCTCTCTCTCTCTCTCTCTATATATATATATATATATATATATATATATATATATATATATATATATATATATATATATAGTTTGCATTATTATTTTTTGCATTATTATTTTTTGCATTATTTGAAAAAATACATGTTAAAAAGTGTTGCTATCTCCGACAATCTGCATCAACATTTACTGAAATTATTATTATTGCTTGCATTTCTGCTGCCACTACTTATTTTTTAATTACCTTCTTAATCTCTTCTTAGGGCAATGCACAAAGTGATGTAAATGTTTTCCTTAAGCGGTTAAAATGTCTTTTTCTTCTATTTCTGTCTTGATTCTGAAAATAATTTGAACAATTGACATATTCACACAAAACTCACTCCAGATTTAATACACTCTCGTTGTCAATCTAGCAACTGACCGATGATCTATTATGATCTATTTTATTCAAAAACAATTGTTATGCGTATTTGTCCAAATGGAAGTTTGTTTTAGTTAAATTTCGAAATGTCATCCTTTCTCCATTTCCATCTTTGCTTCCGTTTCATTTAATAAATACTAGATTTTCATTAGTAGACTTCTTACAAGAGATTATGCAGAATTATACGATGATGGCAAAATCCGAATTTGTAAGTTGAAGGCACATCATTTGGAGAATTTGGCTGTCACCATCGATCTGAGATGATTTCTTCAAGCCTTACACTACATATTGATGTTTAATTGATATTTTCAGAATTATTATATCTACACTACATTTATCCACGGAAATCATAAAAATCCTATCCTGTCATTTCGCAGTAAACAGAATTGATATCATGTGAAATTGTAATTAATTCACTACCGAGCTTTATATCAATGCATTGTTATTTCAATTCATTATCATTTGAAATCTTTATGCAACAAAATTAAATACCGATTTACGCCACCTTCTTTAATAATTTTTTTCAAAAAATGATGCATCCACTGGAATGGGTTCTACTATTTCTCCCCCATGCTTCGATAATATATATTTTTTTCAATCTTCTTTTACTTACTTTGCTTTTTTTAAATTTCTCAATCTCATCTTCTTCTCATATATCTTATTTACTTTTTTTTACTTCTTCATTTTTCTTTCACTTTGCTTTTCTTACTTACATTTTTATTTGTCTTTTAAATCTACGGTTACTTGTCTTTATTACCTTTACTTTATCTCTTTCTCGTCACTTCTGTCTTTTTTCTTCCCATCCTTTTTATTTGTGTTTTTCTTTCTTACTCCACTTTCTTTTTCTAAATTTTTTCTCGTTTCTCTTCCTTCGTTTCCCCTTCGCTTTCTCCTTTTCCTTTTAATATTTCTCAGTAACCTTTGCATTATTTTTTACAGTTTTTCCCTCACTCAAACATTTTCTCACGTTTTTCTCTCTCTTCAGGCTTTTTTCTCATTCATTCTTATTTTTCTGCTTTCTTTTCATTGTATTCGCATTCATTTTCTTAATTAATATCTTTCCTTCCAATTTTTTTCTCTTTTTACTGTCTCCTTTAACTTAGCCTTCTTCATTTTCCCTTTTCTTTCTAATTTGTTATAACATTGTTTTTTTTTTTCTTTCTCCTATTCTCTTCCTTTCATTTTACTTTCTCTTTCCCTCATCCATTTTCGTTAAATATGCTTCGTTCTTGCTTCCCATCTATTGGATCCGGTATTTGATTTATCGATATTAGTGTTTATGTGAATTGATTTCAGATTCACTTGCGCTATCCATCTGTCCGCAAGAGACAGATCCACAAATCTCTCACCAGGAATTAACATGTGACAGACAATAATGGACTTTCAGAAATTATCAATATTACTGCAAGGTGGTCGTTACAAATGCAATCCGTCAGGTTGATGGTCCGAATAATGCCCTCAACGGATTTGCTCCCACCTAATATGAAACGAGATGTTCCAAGTTTGGAATTTGCCGATTGAATACAGATCCGTTAATGACTACGACAGACGCAAAATGCAATGATGACTGGGATGATGGAAGCTAGCAATTTTATTGTACATCATTTATTTGTCCATGATCAGCTGAAACAAATCGCACAGGCTGAGACTTAGAATTCACACATCCTCTATGTTTTTATCTGTTGGGTGTAGCAAAATTTAAGAATTGGTAACTATAAAATCTTAACGCAAGAATTATTTATATGAATTGTTCAGGTATTTTATAGATGTAGACTGAAGGAATATTATTTTATATAAATATAATTTGTTTGGGGAAATTGAGTCATACACTTAAGATAATAAATAAATCAAGGAAAGTTAAACACATTTTAAGATCCCTATTGATTAAGGAATACAAATGACACACGTGCATATATATATATATATATATATATATATATATATATATAGAGAGAGAGAGAGAGAGAGAGAGAGAGGTGGGGGTAGAAAGACAGGGGGAGGAAAAACGAGCCATCTAATAAAGGTACATATATACACTTGTGTGTGTGCGTAGGCAGAATATTCATTTAAATAACTGTCTGATTATAAAAGACACGTTAAGTGTACGATATTTTCAACCGCTTTTTTCTTGTTAGTGGATTAATTTCTATTGAAATTATTACAAATCATTGTCCCAATCTTCGCGCGTTTTTGGAATGTTTCTTACTCTTTCCCAGGTTTTTTTTTCTGTCACAAGTCCGCAAAATACTTTTTTTTTAACACCATTATAAACCTTCTTTCTTTTTCTCTTATTTTTTTCTTCTTATTCTTCAATATTGTGCTCATAAAAGCTTTTAAATCTCTAAAGTTTGATTTCGTTCTTTTTTCTCACGCTACGTCACTGAATTATCCTTTTTTATACAGCGATAATACTTGTTTAACGGACGAACTTGTTTAACGGACGAACTTAAACAGAAAAAATACCATCATTTTGAGAAAAAGTGAACTCACAGTTTATGCTACGAAAATAGAGACAAGTTAATAAACTGTCTTGCTTGAGGAAGAGGTCCAACAGAGTATTGTTTTGGAATCTACTAAGGACCGTCGTAGTTTCCTACGTTCTCTTTTTTTCTTTGTCTTTCGTACATTTGTAAAAATTTAATTGTGTAAAAATATTCGTTCAGAATGAACCGAATTAGAACCTGTAAAAGATATAAATGATGTTGCTTAACAGTGACTCCTTCAAAAAGAAAACTTCTGCCATAGATATTATGTTTACGGAAGATTCCTTTTAAAGATTTACTTCGTAAAACAAGGCAACCTCATAAAAATGGTTAGCACCGGTCGACTTAATAAATTAAAAAAATAAGCGAACCTTGTGAAAAGGCAGATATTGATTTGGAAAAAGTTCCCTTTTACCAGACGAAATATTAGAAAGGTTGGAGTGGGATGTTGTTAGGTCAGGTGAATTTCAGGCTGTGTTGTCTGCCTTATCAAGCAACCTAGCCAAGTTTGATTCTTTAAGGTTACTTAGATATGCAATCAATGAGGAGAGTCCAGCTGATTTATATTTGGAATTTTATATATTTTTTGCGATGCCTCTAAGTGGAATTACGGGGTTGCCGCTTATTGTGTGCAAAACAGTTAGTTATTTTTGGTACTGGCGAAAGATCAAGTGGCACCTATAAAGCCTAAAAGTTTAGCTGCACTGGAATTATTAGCCATATTTTGGGCTGTGAATTATTTGTTACTATTATTAAATTCTTACTCTCGAAATAAAATCGGAGATACTGTAATATCAGAAGATGCACAAGTTGTGTTGTCATGGCTATTGTCTGACAAGTTTAAAACCAAAAATTAATTTGTCAAGAATAGACACAAAGACACTCATCTAATGATTAAGTAACTGAAAGAAAAGAAGACTTTATCAGTAAAATTTAAATATGTTCATACTGAACTTACTGACAGTGGGTAGCTTTGGAAAAACTTCGGCAAAATCTAAACCCTTGGACATCGGGACCTGAATCCACAGAACAATCAACTTCATTAAATTATTACTAACAGTGAGCCACAAACCTTCCTAGTCAAAATGCCAAACTTTATCTGTTTAACGTAATGCAACAACAAAGCTTTGCAGAAGAAATTGTTAAAAAAAGTACCTGAATTAGTAAAAAAAATTGAACGTATTTATAGTCCAAAGATTGGAAAGTAAATAGTGCTATGGATAGAATAGGTCAAAACACAACAAATGATTATGAAATTATCAATCCTGTTCTCTTGGTAAAAGATCATGCCTTAACTAAATTTATGATCATGAACATCACAAAAGATGCAAACATCTTGTATACAGTCAACGTTAAACAAAATCCTACTTTCAGGCGTTTTGATCCCTAAATCGATACACGCTGTCAAAAACGTTATTTCATAATGTATCATGTGTCAAATATTTAATAGCCTTCAGATATCGTAAAGTTACGAATCTGCCTGAACAGAGTCAACCTCGTTAAACCATTTCTACATACACTAGGCATGTTTGAGTGAAAAGTGACGACGGTGTTAGTAAGATGTATATGCTTATATTTACTTGTCTTAATATAAGGGCAGTAGATATGAATTAGTTAAAGACGCGAGCACTCACTCATGTATTCTAGCTTTAGTTAGATTTACAAATATATATGGTATCCCATTTTATATTTACAGCGATAACGCCAGATCTTTTATTGTGGTTTGTTGTAATGGATGCTTGTTGTTTGTGGAATTTGTGGATCCTATCATTAATTTTTAGACCAGTGGCCATTTTCTTGACTTCACTATTTATGTTATTTTCCCAGATGTTGGGTGCCTTTTTATCAAACATATTAACTTCCCTGTTAATAGCTTTATGATACATATCCGCATTGATTTTGTAATGATTACCTGTCTTATCTGCTTTGATAACAATTTTGTTGGATCAGCTTATACGATTTTTGACAGCAACCACAGATTATCTACCATCTCCAGCAATAAGGAAATATTTAATAATAGAAACAGTCAATGTATAACTGACAATATTGTATACCGAGCGAGCATACATTCCGGTAACGATGTTAAATTTTATTTTGGTTCCACTGAAAATCCTTCAAACTTTCGTTTCTACCATCAGCGAATCACATTAGGTAATATAAAATTCAAAAATAGAACTGCTCTCCAAATGATTCTGGCAATTAAAGAATGATGGCAACTCAATTTCCATTAAATGCGATATTATAACAAGAGCCAAATCTTATAATGGTAAAGGAAATAAACATAACTTATGTCTTGTTGAAAAATTGGTTATCTTAAAACACTTAAGTTACCCTAGCAAGAGAATAACCTTAAACAAGAAAAATGAACGATGGTTACATATAGGCATACAAATGAATATTTGCTTAAATACTTTGATCCAGATTAATTTTCATATAAATTACGGTTTATCTTTTATTGCAGTTTCTTATTGCTTTATATATATATATATATATATATATATATATATATATATATATATATATAACAATTAACCTCCTTTAATAATAACGTATGTTTGGACCACCAGAATTAGGAGTATCTGCTCTATATTAAATCGAGTTAGGTTCCTCTTGGTCATCGAAGCCCGCTGGCCCAGTTGTCAAAATAATTCTACCAATTATAAACCTATGCTTGATCTAGCTTCAATGCTCTGAATTGAGCGACTTGGTGAAAGAAGACGTTTCTCTTTGGGCCGGTCCCGGTGGGTTATATATACTTGGATTAGTATCACCACCCGAATTAGGAGTAGATGTGCTATATTGAGTTTAGTTAGTTTCCGCTTCGTCACTGAGGCCCGCTGATCCAGTAGTATGATGCTTGCGTTGTATCGTAACGGTCCAAGATCGATTCTCGGTGGTGATTATTATAATAAGATTATATATTATATGAGAATTATTATAGTTATTCTAATCTCCCCAAAATTCTATCACACATACACATTATATGTGTATTATATATGTTTGTGTGTGTGTGCGTGTGTGTGTCTGTGCGTGTATACAAACTTGAATATATATATATATATATATATATATATATATATATATATATATATATATATATATATATATAATTATTATAGCGAAAACGAACACTTAAAAACATGGTGATATTTATTTCGTTAGAATCGATCCCCACACATCAGACCGACTCTTACACGCAAATATAAATGGACAAGGATTTTATCAAGCTTAGAAAAACCCAATCAGAACAAAAATTTAGTTTAAATATGCAGATTAAAATTTGAGGGATGGGATTAAAGAAAGAGTATATATTCAAATGGGGAGAAATGGGGGGTGAAAGCATTCAAAGCTTGGAAAGGAAAAATGAGGGATTTGTTTAAGTTGTTCAAAAAGATATGTTGAGGTTTTAGATGTGTTCGCCTATTTTCCAGATACACTCTGCGCAAAGGAACAGACTTCCTCAGATGGTAATAGAGGAAACAGAGGGAAGAGAAAAGAAAGGAAAGAGAAAGTAAAAAGAGGGAACTCGATGGGCGGTTGGAGAACTGGGAAATTTTTGTATACAATCGAA